TGAATAAGACCACAACAGCAGCAGCATTTCATCATGCTAAATTTGTTCTGGTTGTTTGTATGGCGCCACATTTTTTAGTTGCATTGTTAACATGGTCTCAGAGAGCAGTGGTCAAAGGCTTGGGAAGCATAGGGAAGTGTGGATGCTTGTGCAACTAGTTTTCAGTTTCGTCAGCGCAGAGTTAGGCTCGGTGTGCATAACCGTAATGGCGGCGACCAAGGCAGCCGAATCTGAAGCTTCTTCTGGTGGAAGCTATTGCCAAGTCCCACACTTTCTTCTGTAGCGTTATTGGTTGAGCAGCACAAGTGTTGCTGGAAATCGAACCATCATCTTCCATGGTTCGTTCTATTTTACACACTGCAGATATCGAGCCCTCCATGGACTCTAGGAACAGAGAACAGTTGCCAACAAAACCACAGCACAAGCTGCTGCAAAAGCCATTTGATTTTTGCAATGTTTGTCTGTTGCTTGTACTTTGTACCCAACATTATATTCCCATGAGCAATGTTCATGGTGTTGACAACTGACAAGGTCATGGTTTGGCCTTGCAAGGCCACCATAGAGGCAAACACGCTGAATTATGCTATTAGTTACTTTTACAAGCTGTAAGCAACTTACCTCTTAATCAAAAAGGAGGCAATCAGCTAACCTTGCACTCTCTGGGATCGGTGGAGAAAGAAGTTAAGGAGATGCTGTTATGTTCTTGAAAAGCATATCAATGATATGTGGTACAGCCAGACGCTTTGGGAATCCAACAGCTATATATATGATCGAGGCATTTGTCCGTCCAGTCCTCTACTCTCAGCCTCACAATACCACAAACATCATATGATTCCTCTGCCTAACTTTGTGCTAGTTTATTTTCATGTGACACAGAACCATCAATAATAATAGTAATAATGACCCATAGAGTACAAGCGAGAGGAATATTTCTCCTTTTTATGATTCCAGGTTCCTGACTTTAGCACAAGAATCGGATCCTGTTTGTGTTGAACAATCATCATAGTAGTGTGATAAAAAATTGGCTATGGCCAATGAGATGTGGATAGTAAAGATCATATATTCAGCTATGCTCTTTGCAATCATCGAGAGAATGAACAACAATATGCAACCCTGCCTAATGAACTCATCATGTCCGTTCCGTATTCGTCTCCCATCAAGGTTAATTCCCAATCTGTGATGACTGTTTAATGTACGGGTGCGTGTTGTGAAAAAGCCTTTTGCCCACCTGTCCTAGTTCTAGCACGAAGTTCAGGATAGAAACTGCTAAAATTTGCTCGAGAAACGTATCATGGATGGAGCAATGTGGTTTCTTCCTCAGTTTCAGCATCGTCATATCCTCTCAAGATGGAGCAGAGCACCAAGGAATTCATTGCTGCAGTTCGAAGTTCGTGTATAATTCCTATATATAACACATCACTTTCGTTTTCTATATTCATCTCACCACCACTCAGAGTGCACCTTTGAACCCACCCCCGAAACCCTAGCTGCCCCTGGTGGCCCCCACCGCGCCGGCTGCCTCCTCGGTGCCGGCGCCCCCATCCGCCGTCCCCTCCCATCCCTCCCCACCCCCCTCGGCGTCCTACCCTCACCTCCCTCGCGCGGGGCCCAGTGCCTCCTACGACGGTGCATCGCGGGCGGCCACACCCAACCCGACCGCGCCATCGCCGGTGGCGCCGGCCACCACCCAGGTGTCGGCGCCCCCGCCCCTCCTCCCCCTCCCCCTCCCCTCCCCCAATACCGACCCGCGCCTCAGCCAACGCCTAGATTCCAACCCGCCCACACCGCCACCGACGACGGGGGCCGCTGCCACGGCCGCCAGCGAGCCCACCCCCGCTGGATCCGGTGCTGGAGCGCTCCCGCGGACTTCCTTGAGGCCGCCAAAGCCGGGCACGGCCACCGCGACAACCAACGGCTGCAGCTCCCATCCCCGCCGCCCATGATGCCGGGCCCCACCACCGTGGCCACCACCTCCAGAAGCAGCATGAACATCGAGCCTGCCATTGAGTGCCTCGCAGATTCTCTCCCCCCGCCGCCAGCCAAACCACCACGGTCCATCGCCTCTAGCAGCTCACTCTCACCGGCTGCGGCTCCCTTCTACCCTTCAAGAGGGCACACGACAACATCGGTGGGTGGACGACGACGACGAGGAGTCCGATGACAACCACCCCACAACCTACCTAGATGCAGTCCGTCGACCAGCGAAGCGATGGTCGTGTCCCCGCCACGCGCCCTTGATTCGCCCAATCGTGGTCCCGGGCCATGATGGAGCGACGTTTTGGCGCAGGGGCAAGGGCTAAGCCGGAGGAAGCGTGAGAAGGCCACGCCCCTAGTTGGTGTGCGGCCTGCCTACTTGGCCAGTGGATGGCCGCGTTCTTGCCCGCCAACGCCTCGGCCGACGCGGATAGGTCTTTGCTCCCAACGCTGATGGGTGGCGCCGGAGTAAGCCGGCAAGGGACAACAGCATGGATGTGCCTACCGACTACGCCAACAACGCTGCTACCTCTGCTACTGCACACCTCCACGAGCTAGATCCGCTAGTGTTGGAGCTGTGTGCGGGCGCGGGGCCTCCCGCGTGGGTCGACCCAATGCTGGTGGAGCTCGCCGCCTCGTTCGTGGTGAGCCGACCAGCAGGGGCGACTGCCCCTCAAGAAGCGGAAGCATCACTGGTGGATACCCGTTCTCCAGTGAAGGTTGCTCACTAGGCGACGGGCTTGCCTACGCTTTCGCCTGTGCAAGGGCAGCCACACGTCACGCCACCGCGAGGGGGGCAGCCTAGCATCATGGATGCCGAGGCGTGCCTACAAAGCTCGCCGCCTCCAGGGGGATAGCACGGCATCGTGGATGCCGAGGCGCGCGCACAAAGCCCGAGCACCACACCCCCAGGCGCGGTTGCGGCCACCCCTTCACGATCAGCTGACTCCGTCGCCAAGATCCTGCGTAAGGCGCCATCGCCGTTGCTGCCTCAGCCGATTGTGGAGGCACACCCAAAGTTGCCGACGCGCAGCAGGAGGATCGCCGCACATGCGTTCTCACACATCCCAGCTTCTAAGCGGGGAGAGGTGCTGGTGATGAAGCGGATGGGATTCATCGATGGACAGACGTGGCCTTCCACGGCAGCCAAGAACGCCTACGACATCATCTTCGTCGACCAGCTCAACCCCTCGCATGCTGAGGCAATGCGACAGCTCTTCTCGGACCCACAGGGAGAGCGGCCGAGGCGCCGAGCAAGGTAGCACGTCTGAGCGCCGGTGATGGCTAGGTAGCTTGTTTAGCGAGTAATAGCCCATGATCTCCTTCTGCTAAGGAGGGCAGAGCCGATTGTATATCACTTTTCCTCCCTAACGTGCCATGTTTGTGGCGCGTCGTTGTAACTTTCAATATTTCTCGATTTTAATACAAAAGGCTTGGGAAGCATAGGGATGCATGTGGGTGTAGTTTGCAGTTTGGGAGGCAGAGGCTTCTTGCACGACCGCAATGGCTGTAAGCAAGAGCTTAAGGAATCTCCAGCTTCTTGTGTTGGAAGGAAGGAGGAACTCGGCCTTTGTCTCCACCTTATGCTATATCGGTAGAGGTCAGGCTGTAGCTGTCTGTATCTTTGTGCGAAATCCAACTGATAAGCCAGTCCTTGGAAGTAGAGAACAATTGTGAACAGAACCACAGCGGGAACAGATGCCAGGGACATACTTTATGCTAGTATTACGTTTTATGACAAGCTGTAAGCAACTATGCACTGTGTGTGTGGTGTTAATGAGAAACTGCTAAAAAGTTGTTGAAAGCGTAGCAATGGTGTGTGTGGTGTGGCCTCTTTCTCCGCAGATCCCCTGAGAATCTAACAGCTTTGTTCGAGGCACTCATCAGACAGCAAGAAGCCATCCTCTGCTCTGAGCCTCCCAAGACAGCACACGGTTCCAATCCTATAAAATATATATAGGTCTAACCTTTTTCCTTTTCATCACTGTAGACTTTAGCTGAAGAATCAGATCCCCCATTTGTATTGAAAACTCCACAAAGTACTGTGATATGAAAAAACATTTGGCTCTGACAACTGAGATGTGGACAGTAAGAACACACATTGTGCTCTGCTCTGTACAGTCATCGGGAGAATGAACAGCAATATGCAACCCTGCCTAATCGGCTCACCATGTATTCGTCTGCCATCTCAAATTCCCAACCTGTATAATAAAAATCACTCAAATCCATTTTGATTCCGGCAAAATCACAGAAAACTCCCACTTGAAAACTACTAGACATCATCCAAGCTCTACCTATGATCCGATCACATGATGCTACACGCCGCCGGGTCGTCGTCACTGAACGTCCGGCAGCCCCTGTACGCACCGCACGGCGGTGGCAACGGCCTCACGGTTGTCCCGTACACCCCGCCGCAGCAGCCGCACCTGCAGCTGTCGTAGTAGCCTTGTGTCAGTACTCAGCTACCGAGTGCAACCTCAGAAAGAGCCTACGAGCAAGACGGGCCAGGAGATCTCGAAGCTACGGGCCGACAAGCCAAGGCCCAGAAAGGTGAACCCAAAATACACAGGAAGGGATTGGGCCGTTTGATTTCCGCCTGCGTGCGTAAAGAGGCATGTCCTCTTTATCGGTATAAAGGGGAACAGAACTCCAGGAAGGAGGGTATCGCGATTGTAACAGAATTGGAAAACTCGAGCTAATCATTCATCTGCCTATACTCTTCTTCTTCCTCCTCTGTATCTGCCAACTCCTCTTGCTACCCCATCTGCTACCTCTCACATTTGGTATCAGATTCCTTCAATCCTCGGCACTGACCAGTCGCTCGATTCCCTCATCCACATCAGTTGCTCGTACTCCAACGATTTTGGTCGGTCTAACCCCGATTCGAGCCTGTGATCTGCAGCTTGAGCTGGGGATTCCATAATTCCGATCCCGAGTCGTGACTTGTGGTGTGAATCGCCGATCTGGATCCCCCGTCCGCCGCATCTCACGACCATTTCACCCGTCGCCAGAAGAAGTTCGGCGTGATGGACCCCACTCAGAAGCTGTTGCTCGATGAGATGGATCGCCGTTTCGGCACATGCTTCGACAGCATCGACCGCCGCTTCGACGACCTGGAGAAGAAGTTCGACGGTACCGCGAGTTCTTCATCGACTCGCCTCGACGCGCTGGAGAACGCAACGAAGGTGTTCGACGAATGGCGCCCGGGAGTTGACGGCCTCATCGACGATTTGTGGGTCGAGGTGAACCGCCTGACGTCCCTCAAGCTGGAGGTCGGGAAGATCTCCAAGTTCATGGAGAGATCCATGGTGGATGGCCCGAGCACTACTCCTGGTCTTCATGGATCCATGCCGTCCGTGCTCGTCGCCAAGTCCTCGTCCGCCCCTGCCTCGCCGAGTGCGGCCGTCTTCGCCAACAACCCCATGCGTTCGCCTGCGCTCAAGTCTTCACCGCCGTCCCCGACGTTCCGCATGGCTCCTCCATCACCGAACTACAAGCCGGAGCTGCCGACTCTGCCGAACACTCTTGTTCCGCATGGTGGCTTCGAGGCTGCCCCGCGCCCATCCGCGGGATATGCAGCCAACCCGCCCAACGGGCACCGCGTCAACCAGGCTGGCTTCGGAGTGGTCACCACTCTATTGCCACCACATGCCAAGGGTATGTCGTCTGGCCACTCCCCTTTCCCTTTGCCTTTACCGATGGCCCATCCACCCCACCCTCCACCGAGTCACCATTTTGAGTCCGGGTACTAGGGAGGATCTAGGGGGGATCACACAGGCAAACTTCCTAAGTTTGATTTTCCTAGGTTCGAAGGGGAACATCCGAAGCTGTGGATTAAGCAAGCCATACACTATTTCTGCCTATACCGTGTTGAGTCTGTTGTCTGGGTGTCGGCTGCCACTATGCATTTTCATGGCCCCGCCAAGCGTTGGCTCTCTTCAATTGAAGATGACCTTGAGTCCATAGAGTGGGATATGTTTTGTGCTCAGTTGCTCTCTCGTTTTGGACGCGATGAGCATGAATTGCTTTTGTGTCGTATGTTCCGCATTCGTCAGAATGGTTCAGTCGCCGATTATATTGAGCAGTTCGTCAGTTTGGTAGATGAACTTAAAGCCTATGCTAAACACCCAAACCCACTATACTATGTTCAACGATTCATTGATGGACTACGTGATGATATTAAAGCTATTTTGCTTGTCCACAAGACGTCTACTCTCGATGCTGCCTGCGTTTTGGCTGAATTGCAGGAAGAGGCGCTGGGTGTCTCCAAGAGGGTATTCAGGCATTCTGATGCGGTGCCTACCCAGAAGCCGGCGTGGCATGGTGGAGTACCACTACCTATTCCACCACCCCGTACTGATGCTGTGGATGGAAAACGCGCTGGGCCCGTTTCCTCTTCCACTACTGATGAGAAGTTTTAGTCCCTGCGTGCTGCATGCCATGCCCAGGGCTTATGTTTTCGCCGTGGGGCCAAATGGAGTCGCAACCATCGCTGCTCTGAGGCAGTTCAACTCCATCTCGTCCAAGAGCTCCTGGACATTTTTCCTGAAGACGACATTCCTGCTGATGATTCAGGTCCTACTTCTCCTGTTGCTGCTCAAATTATGATGCATCTTTCTGTTGCTGATGTCGCGGGTGCTCATTCCCCCAAGACCTTCTGTTTATCTAGTGATATACAAGGCAATCCATTGTCTATTTTACTGGATTCTGGTAGTTCTCATTCATTTGTCAGTCTGGCTTTGGCTGGTTCCCTCTCTGGTGTCCAGCCGTTATCTCCCGCAGTAACAGTTCAGGTTGCTAATGGGGCAGTGCTCAGTTGTGATTCCCACATTCCTGCTACTAGTTGGTCGGTCCAGGGCTATTCCTTCACCACTGATTTGAAATTGTTGCCTCTGAGCTCTTATGATATGATTCTAGGCCTTGATTGGATGTCCCATTTTAGTCCTATGCAAGTGGATTGGAGTCAACAGTGGATCTGCATTCCATATCAGGATAAGTCTGTATATCTTTGGGGTAATATGGCTGCTCTTCCAGCAGGTGCTGTTCTGCAGTTGTCCATAGTGCTGGAAACTCTTCAGCCTCAGCATTCTTCTGTCAGTCCTGTGGTTCAACCATTGTTGGATGAATTTGCTCACTTATTTACCCCACCACTCGGATTACCTCCTAGCAGGGACTGTGACCACACTATACCACTGATTGCTAGCGCTCAACCTGTTTTTGTAAGGCCATACAGATATGCTCCCATCCTTAAATCTGAAATAGAGAAACAAGTAAATGATATGCTGCAACAGGGAATTATACAGCCAAGTTCCAGTGCTTTTGCTTCTCCCGTTTTACTCGTGAAGAAAAAGGATTCCACATGGTGGTTTTGCATTGATTATCGACAGCTCAATGCTATTACTGCTAAAACTAAGTATCCAGTGCCTATTATTGAAGAGCTGTTAGATGAACTGGCGGGTGCTTCTTATTTCACTACTCTGGATTTGCAGGCAGGGTTCCATCAAATCCGCATGAAAGAGGGTGAAGAATTCAAGACTGCCTTCCAGACACATTTTGGCCAATTTGAGTTCAGAGTGATGTCATTTGGCCTGACAGGAGCTCCTGGAACCTTTCAAGGTGCCATGAACACTACTTTGCACCCTTGTCTTAGGAAGTTTGCACTGGTCTTTTTCGATGACATTTTGATTTACAGTAAGAGTTTGGAGGAGCACCTCCAACATATCAGAATTGTTTTTCAGTTGCTTACTAAGGATCAGTGGCACTTGAAGTTATCTAAATGTGTATTTGCTCAGACATCTATTTCCTATCTGGGGCACATCATCAGTGGTGCAGGTGTGGGCACAGACCCTTCTAAGCTGACAGCTATTGCAAATTGGCTGACTCTTCTGTCAAGGAACTTCGATCATTTCTCGGACTAGCTAGATATTATCGCCGGTTTGTCCGCCACTTTGGTATTATCTCCAAGCCCTTGACTGCATTACTCAGGAAACAATCCTTATTTGTGTGGACTCAAGATCATGCGGTTGCCTTTCAGACATTGAAAGAAGCTCTCTGTCAGTCACCAGTTTTGTCCTTGCCTGACTTCTCCAAACCGTTTGCTATTGAAACTGATGCATCTGAGGCTGGTATTGGTGCTGTCTTAATGCAGGAGGGCCATCCCATTGCATTTATGAGCAAGGCATTAGGGCCGAAGTCTCGAGGACTCTCTACTTATGAGAAAGAGTTCATGGCCATCTTACTGGCCGTCCAAGCCTGGCGACCTTATTTGCAATTTCAAGAATTTGTGATTCTCACCGATCAGAAGAGCCTGACTCAGCTGTCTGACCAACGTTTGCATACTTACTGGCAACAACATGTATTCTCCAAGCTCCTAGGTCTTCAATACCGCATTGTTTACCATCCTGGCTCTGATAATCGGACAACGGATGCTCTGTCACGGCACCCAGCTCCAATGGCGTCGTGTGCGGCAGTATCTACTTTGGTCCCATCGTGGATATCAGTCGTGGTGGCTAGCTATGCTCAGGATCCCTCGGCTCAGTCTATGATTGCTAAATTGGCTTTGGATCCAGCCGCAGTGCCCAATTTCACCCTCTAGTCTGGGGTCCTTCGCTATCGATCTCGCATTTGGGTTGGCCATGATGTTTCTCTGCAGCAGCATCTGTTGTCGGAATTCCATGCCAGTGCCTGGGGTGGCCATTCTGGTGCACCTGTGACCTTTCGTCATCTCAAGCGCTGTTTCGCGTGGAAAGGAATGAAGACGGTTGTTCAACAGTTTGTACAAGCCTGCTCGGTCTGTCAGCAATCCAAGCCCGACCGTTCCAAGTTGCCTGGTCTTCTCCAACCGCTCCCGGTGCCTGACACGGCCTGGCAAGTGATTTCGCTTGACTTCATTGAAGGTTTACCCCTATCTGCTTCCTACAACTGCATTATGGTTGTGGTGGATCTCTTAACTAAATATAGCCACTTCATTCCACTGAAACACCCCTTCACGGCTGCTGCTGTGGCGCAGAGTTTCTTCAGTACTATTTATTGTCTACACGGCTTGCCTCAGTCACTGGTTTCCGATCGTGACAGGATCTTCACTAGTCACTTTTGGTCTGAATTGTTTAAATTGGCTGATGTTAAGCTCTGTCATAGCTCAGCCTATCATCCGTAGTCCGACGGGCAGACTGAACGAGTCAACCAGTGCCTCGAGACATATTTACGTTGCTTTGTTCATGCTTGTCCTAGAAAATGGAGTTCTTGGCTTACTGCTGCTGAGTTTTGGTACAACACCTGCACCCACTCTACTACTGGACGAACTCCATTTGAAGCATTATATGGTTACTCGCCTCGCTTGCTTCCTGTTGCTCTGGGCTCCACAGCTAATGAAGAGGTTATTCAGTGGGTTTCTGGTCGTGACTGGATGGACCAGCTCCTTCAACATCATCTCAATAGAGCCAAGCAGCGTATGAAGAAGCACGCTGATTTTCACCGCTCAGAACGATCGTTCGAAGTGGATGAGCTGGTGTACTTGAAGCTCCAACCATATGTGCAGTCTTCTCTTGCTCCCCGTGCTCATCAGAAGTTAGCCTTTCATTTCTTCAGCCCCTTCCGTATCTTAGCTCGTGTTGGGTCTGTGGCTTATAAGTTGGAGTTACCTGCTCATTCATTGCTTCATCCGGTTTTCCACGTCTCCCAACTCAAGAAGGCCGTGGGTGCATCTCATCAGGTGGTACCTACTCTTCCAACTGATTTTGCATTACATCTTTCTCCAGAGAAGATATTGCAGACTCGCTCGGTGGTTCGCGATGCTGTTCGTGTGTCTCAAGTGTTGGTTAAATGGAACAACTTGCCATTGGAACTCGCCACTTGGGAGGATTATGAAGCCCTTCACCAGGAGTACTCCTCTCGCTACCCCATCTGTTACCTCTCACACCCTGGTGGCAGGGCGCGCACCACGGGCACCCGCACGGCCCCACGGGCGGCTCAGGCCACGATGGGATCTCCACCGTTGGGATCACGTACTCCGCCACCGGCTGCTCCAGCGGCCGCCCCGGGCACGCCGGCATCAGCTGCAGCGGCTGGTGTTGCGGCACCGGCATGGCCATGTCCATCGGCTTCATCGGCGGCATCTCCTTCGGTGGGGGCGACATCGGCAGCTCCAGTTCCGCTCTGGGCGGCTTCTCCGGAGGACGCTTCCCGCCGCCGCCGTTGGTGTCGACGATGTGGAGGTCCTTGATCACATTTCCGCCCTTGCAGCGGAGCTTGCAGGCGAGCCGCTGCGGGTCGAACGGCCCCACGATGGTGATCGTCTTGCTCTTGTTGTCGAAGGAGATCGTCCGGATCCTCTCATGGTCTGTCAAGATCACGAGAGAAATCGAAGGATCGTGCATGGTGACATGGTGCTCATCATCGCTCGTAAACATGAAGGATCATATTGACGAGGTTGTGTGCAGTAGTTTTTTTATTTATTATTATTTATTTACCTTGGAGCATGCAAAGAATCTTGCGGATCTTGTGGTAGCACTTGTGGCAATCAAGGTCAACCACGACGATTAGTATGGAGATCTGTGTTGACAGCAGCATTAGTCCAGGCCGGGTAAATATTATTCTTATTATTTTTGACAGCAAAGGGAATCAGATGAAAATCACTGCTTGCAGCTGGCACGCGAAAAGCGGAATAAGATTAATTCCGAAAGTATTAAAAGCATTGTTCAAACGCTGCGCATCTTTATCACGTAATTACTGTAAGCAAATCCGTTTCTGTTTCTTTCTATCTGTCGTCGTTTGTAAAGTAAATAAGTAACTCCCATACCAATGAATTCAGCCTCGGATTATATTTTGTCATACTCCTTACTACAATTGAGAGCAACTATGAACATATTATATTATAATATAAGGTCTTGACAGGCGCCCCGAAGAATATATATAATCTCTTGGTGAAGAAAAAGAAACACGATATAAGGCGGTGTTCGGATCCGGTGACTAAAATTTAGGAGGTGTCACGTAAGAGTGTCGCATGGGTTGTTCGGATGCTAATAAAAAAACAAATTACAGAATCCGTCAGTACTCCACGAGAAGAATTTATTAAGCCTAATTAATCCATCATTAACGCATATTTACTGTAGCATCACATTATCAAATCATTGACTAATTAGGCTTAAAAAATTCGTCTCGCAAATTAGTCACAAACTGTGCAATAAAAACTCATGTTGGCTTTATTCTCTCGCCAACGTGAAAGAGAAACACATAAAAAAGCGTGTAACACAGGTATGTATGCGATACGCCTTTCAACAGGAACTAGGTAGATTGTGAAATAAAGAATGGACTTGTTCGTACAGATCAACATATGTGTGTGGAAACTCTTTGAATATATTCTTGCTCCACTACTATACATTTTTTCCTTTCAACCAATTTGTAAAGAACAGCATATATAGGT